AAGACAGCGACGATCTCATCTTTGCCGTTCTTCATGCAGCCTGGAAATTGAATCTCTTATTTTTCAATTTGTAAGGTAATTTAACATAGAAAAAAACTTAAATTTAATAATGGAATACATTTTAATGCCACACATGTAGATCTCGTCACGGAAGAAAAGTATATCGACAGATTTGTTCGCCTTTCTATGAGGGAGGAAAAAGGAAAGGAAAAAGAGGAATGTGCACTCGCATTCAGTGTGCCGCTTCACAATCTCTCTAAAAGCCGGCCCCGCATTTGCAAACGTTCTGTCGATTGCATTAGTCCGCAGCGTTCTAGCTTCATCCCCAACTGAATTCGACTGCGAATAAATCTACGCCCCTCTCCTCCACTACGTGCCTTCCTTGGCTTATGCCTGTACGCTTACTATCTATTCGATCGTTAACGCCTAGTACCCCAACTGCTAACAGTGTTAGCTCTCTGCCGTTTCCTTATTTCTCCGACCTCGTGCGGTTCGAATTATTCTTTGCCCCTACCACGACTATTGATTGCTTTTAATTCTCTTGCTTTTCAGTTGGCCACTTAATTCCTTGCCTGCGCATTCGCCTTGTTACTCCAATGCCACGGTTCCAAGTCGCGTAGTCTCTGGAATTCCATCTGCACGCCTGCTGCCTCGTTCAAGGATTCCTCAATTCGCTGCCGCTGATTATATCTCATTTCCCTCTTCGCTTCGAGAGCAGTGTTTACACAACAACAACGTCGACTTCAAACGTGGAGGAAATGTATTCCGAGCGTTGAACTTCTCCAGCGAGCCTTGAAATTTTGGTAATATAAACGTTAACTAAAATTGTTTTCATTTATACCTTTATTGACCACTAAAATGGGTGTTGTCATTGTCAAAGCTACATCAATTATGTTTCTGGAAGTGAAGCCACGAGTGATTTAAAAGTCAGCTGTACTAGAGAAAGTGTATGCAATCGATTGAGCGAATAGCTAATTACGATTCCCGTGACTTAGCGACAATTTCCCGGCAAGAAGGCATAGGCCCGAGTCAAGAAATCCTATTGAGTCTGTGAAGTCACTTATGCCAGTACATATACAATGTTTGATTCAACCTGAATTTATGACAGTTTATCCGTGTTCACTATACCAAATTAAATTGACGATAACATTGAAATTGCTAGCCTATTATTTATAGGTTGTACGTATTCTTGTTTTCAGTATAGTACGAAAACTACTCGATACATTTTCATGCTGGTGCTTCGAAAAATCTGCAACTTCATGACCGAATACCACCATCACTTTGTTAGGCGTCTCCGAAGAAAAATATGTTTTTATTTCCAACTCGTCTCGCTTGTTCATTAGTGCTTGTACTTAAGTGTTTGCCTTTAGCTCACACAAAACTTTTTAAAATACTTACTCCCGACTCACTTCGATCCGTATCTCCACTCCTGCACCTCCAACGCACAGGTCGGCCACCCCGCCTTTGCAGAACATGCACTTCCAGCCCTTGCCCCCACCCTCCACCTTCACCCACGCCCACCCGCTCCCACCCGTGCAGCCGCGAAGAGTAATTACTCTCTTGAGGTCGGGCGTGGCGCGGCGGGGAACGGAACGCGACCGCCCCTAATGAAAATCAAGAGATGGAACGCACCTCCACTCCTCCTCAATATCACCGCCCCCTCCCCTACCCCACCCCCGCCCTGCCACCGCCACGCCACCGACCCGCCCTGCCCTGCCACCCCACTTGCCACGCCACTTCACTAGCCAGCGCCAGCGCTACCGCCACTGCCACTGCCACTGCCAACCGCCGACCGCCACCGCCACCGCACCACCGGCCACGCCACCGCCACCGCCCCGCCAATCGCCAACCGCCACCGCCACCGTCACCGCCACTGCCACCGCACTGCCACCGCCACTGCCACCCCACATGCCCACCGCCACTGCCACCGCCACTGCCACCGCCACTGCCACGCCACCGCCAACTGCCACCGGCACAACTGCCCACCGCCATGCCCACGGACCACTGCACCGCACTGCCACCGCCACTGCCACGCCAGTTGCCACCGCCACTGCCACCGCCACTGCCCAACGCCACTGCCACGCCACGCCACCGCCACCGCCACGCCACCGCACGCCACCGCCACCGCCACGCCACCGCCTCCCCACCGCCACCGCACCGGCCACCGCACTGCCACCGCCACTGCCACCGCCCATGCACACGCCCACTGCACGCCACGCCACCGCCACTGCCACCGCGCACCGGCCACCGCACCGCCACTGCACCGCCACTGCCTCCGCCAACCGCCACCGCACCGCCACCGCCACCGCCACCGCACCGCCACCGCCACCCGCCACCGCACCGCACCGCCATCGCCATCGCCACCGCCAACCGCCACGCGTCACCGCCCACGCACCGCCACTGCCACCGCCACTCCACCGCACTGCCAACGCACTGCCACGCCCCACTGCCACCGCCACTGCCACGCCACTGCACCGCCACTGCCACCGCCACTGCCACCGCCACTTGCCACCGCCACTCCACCGCCACTTGCACGCCACTGCCACCGCCACCGCCATGCTCCCCACCGCCACCGCCACCGCCGACTGCCACCGGCCCACCGCCACCGCCACCGCCACCGCCACCGTTCAACCGTCATCGTCACCAGTCACCGCCACCGTCCACCGCCACCGCCACCGTCACCGTCACCGCCCCACCGCCCACCGCCACGCCACCGCACTGGCAACCGCCACTGCCCACCGCCACTCTGCCCACCGCACCGCCCACCCCACCGCCACCGCCACCGCACCGTCACGTCAGCCGCCCACCGCCACCCACCGTCAACCGCCACGTCACCGCCACTGCCACCGCCACTGCCCACCGCCACCGCCACCGCCACCGCACCGCCACCCCACCGCCAGCCCCACCCGCCGACCGCCACTGCCACCCACCGCCAGCCCCACGCCACCCCACCGCTCACGCCACCGCCACCGCCACTGCCTCCGCCACCGCCACCGCCACCACCGTCACCTGTCATCGTCGACCGTCACCGCCACCTCCCGTCCACCGCCACCGTCCACCGTGCACCGCCACCGCCACCGCACCGTCACCGCCACCGCCACCGCATGCACCCGCACCGCCACCGCCACCGCCCACCGCCACCGCCACCGCCACCGCCACCCCACCGCCACCGCACCGCCACCGCCACGCCACCGCCACCGCCACCGCCAACGCCAACGCCAACGCCACGCCCGCCACCGCCACCGCCCCGCCACCCGCCACCGCCACCGTCACCGCCACCGCACCGCCACTGCACCGCCACGCCACCCCACCGCACCGCCACATCCACCGTCACCGCCACCGCCACCTCACCGTCACGCCACCGCCCACCGCCACCGCCACAGGCCCTGGCCCTGCCACCCCGTCGTTTGCCCTGCCGCCTCGCGTCGCCTGTAGCAGCAACAGAGCACGCGGCGATGTAAACGAATCAATATCTTAATGGATTTCATTACGGGTTCATAGGCGCCGTTTTTCTGCACAGCGCGCTGCTCGCGTCGAAACACGTATGCGCAGCGGGTTGCGGACTGCTCTACTGTGATGACGGTGGCGGGACAAGGCTCTTGATTATGATAAAAAAAACGGACGGGCACGACCAAAATACCCTATAAATTCAGTTGAAGAGGGACGACAATCTGGAACGATCCGAGGCAAAGCCGCCCTATGATGCTTATGCGTATCGAAATAATACTGATGTATGATACGCAAAATAAAAACACGGCTAATGATTCAGCGGTGATGAAAGCATTCATTCAAAGTCTGTAGAACACATTGTTCATATGAATTATGAGTTCGAAACTGATGTGAAATTGCAAATCTCGGGGATTACATCGGGGCTCACGGTTCAGAAAAGTATAATAAAGGAGGGATGTTGTCAAATGTGCGAAGAAAGTTGCTTCCGTATACCCAGTGTCTTCGAGGAGAGAAATGGTTGGGGATAGGAATTTGAAAAGTGAAAGCAAAGTGATGTGTGCGAAATAACTGATAAAGAATCAGGTGAACAACATTGAGATAGATAAATATTTTCAATGTGTATTGTTCATCTGCCTTTTAACTTATTATTGTCAATAAATTCCAAGGATGTTGTAGATATTATTGTAGTAGATCCATGATTGATTATTAAATAAAGATCGGAGGGGGTATCAACACAAAGTGTGTTTTTAAAATTTCATTAATATAAAGAATTGGACAGCCATTACACGTGTCGGAAGTAATTTATCCCACCTTCTATATCTCCATGATTTAATCGCATGATTACTGAGCCACGAAATATGGATTAAATTCGTTCAAAACGTTGTGTAAGCTGTTTATCTTATGTTAAAATTTATATTAAAATATTACTTGTGGTATACCTCCTCCATCCTCTTAATAATCACTTTTATTGTCAATTTAAGTGGGGTTGGCACTCTGCTGTGCAGTTGGTCCGTTGCGGTTGGATCATTTTCGTCAAATGCGACGTGTGAATGAGATATAAGCGTACGTAAATTATGTATTTACATTGCTAGTAAATGCACCAAATAGGTTTTATAATAGAGGCATGACATCCGTTAGATCAAAGATCTCTTTTTTTACGAGTACTAACTTATTTTTTACAAGTAAAGTCATTCTTTCAGCCGAATAATCTATTGCTAAGGAATCCTGTAAGCAATGTGATGATACAGCCTCTCCGGACTTCTGCTAGCAGGACTGACTTTCTGCGAAGCGCAGGCTGGCTAGTCTACCGAACGCGCGACATGCTGAAGCCTTGTACCGGAGAGAGGAGAGAGGGGGCGGAGAACGGAAGAGAGAGTAGATACGAGAAGGAGACGGGAAGAGAGAGACGGGTGAGAGAGAGACGGGTAGAGAGAGAACGGTGAGAGAGAGACGGGTGAGAGAGAGAGGGT